TATAATGTTCAACAGCTTATACAAACTTTTAAATAAAAAAAGCCTAACCGAACCTTTTCCCAGAGCCAGTGGTAACGGTATTATATCTCTGACCCAGTAACATTACCCTAGTAAAAAGCACATTCCATCAAATTTTAACTGATACTAAAGAGAGATGTGGCATATAATACATGCGGCACAAACCAGAGAAACCCATCGTATGATGGTCGCCAACCTTCGGTAGAAGACGGCACATAAAGAAAAAAAGAGAGATGTACCGAATACAATAATTACATAATATAATTATTTAAAGATGACCAAAGAATCTACCAAGAAATAAAATCTAACCGAGATACATGCTCACCAATTTTATTTTTATGAGTTCAAAAGGCCATCGAAAAAGGGAAATAAAGGAAGGTTTCTGGTCCTGACCAAATACCTGCAGAATTGTTACAACTATTAAGTAACGATTGCACTGAAAAGGGATTAACAATCAACGCAAGGAAAACAAAATGAATGGTGGTTTTTGTCCTCTTTGTGTCAGATCTTGTTTCTGCCGCGTAATTCTGCCTTTCATTTCTTCTCCGATATTTTTATTTCTCCATATTGTTTCATTTAGGCAGCCTGCGGCTCTGTTTGCTCTATTAACTTGATCTTCCACTTCAGTTTTGAGCTTTCCGTAGCTAGATAATGTGATGCCTAGATATTTAAACTATATCACTTGTTCTATTATCTGACCTTCCAGCTCCAATTTACGTCTTAGCAAATTTATTAAGTTCTAAAATTAGATAACAAAATCCTGAAAAATGTGGAAGATATCTCGGTAGCTGGATTGACTCCATGAATGAAACTGACGAGGAAATTTTGACCAGAATAGAACTTGCACAAAATAGCTTTATTAACTGGCGTTCTGTATTGTGCAGTTTTGTCATTGACCATACGTCTAAGAGGGAAGTGAATGGCTAACGATAGACCTCTGGGATCACATGTCTTACCGGAAGGTATGTGGCAATAAAACCTGGATGAATAGTTAAACATTACGTCTGTTAGCAAGTCCGATTCCCACCTCTACGTGGTACTTCCTGGGTAACGCTAACGGGAAAGGGCGAAAGGCGAGCTTCCGGCGCCTTAAAACTGGAATACTCCGGATAAGGGAGAAATCCCCGACAGAAAACATGAGGAAGGCAATGGGAAACCACCTCATTAATTTTCCCAAGAAAGTTATGATGGTAAATGGAATTAAATCGATGGCCCCCAGTGCCCAGCAGAACTTAAATGTTCAGGGGGTGCTAAGAATCCCCGGGAGGAACAAAAACAAATACAAAACTAAAACAAACAATGACGTCAAAGTAGCGACCTGGAACGTCAGAAGCCTTTATGAGGCTGGAAAGCTAGCAAACGTGTGCCAAGAAATGATCAGATTGAATATAGATATTTTAGGTCTGAGTGAAGTTAGATGGCCTAACTCAAAAACAACAAAAAATATGAACAAAACACTCTATTATTCAGGCAACAATGATCCAAAACATTTCAATGGAGTAGGTGTAATAATAAACGATGAATTGAGTAACGCAGTTTCAAACTTTATACCACTCTCTGACAGAGCAATGCTGTTGCAAATAAGGAGTTCTCCTTTTAATGTGAATATTATTCAGGTCTATGCAACAACCGCAGATAAGCCAGATGACATACTAGAGGAATGGTATGAAGATCTACAAAAGAATTGTCATGAAATTGACAAAGAAAGAAGATATTAACATCGTCCTAGGAGATTTTAACGCTAAAATAGGAAGAGGGAAATTCCCAAATATCGTAGGAGAATACGGACTAGGAGAACGAAACGAAAGAGGAGACAGACTATTAGAGTTTTGCCAGCAACACAATATGATAGCAACAAACACTTGGTTTAAGTTACCTCAACGTAGGTTATACACATGGACTTCCCCGCTACACACAAAAGAAAGAATAATAAGAAATCAAATAGATTATGTTTTAATCAACCAACGATTTCGTAACTCCATTACAAGTACAAAAACATATCCTAGTGCTGATGCAAATTCCGACCACAACCCTGTAGTAACAAATATTCGCACAAGAATTAAAGTAATAAAAAAATGCAAAGCCGAAGAACAAACCTAATATGGAACTACTAAAAGATGTACAGATTAAAGATAAAACCACTGTAAAACTAAATGAAAAACTCTCAGAAATAGACCGAACCCAAATAAATATCCAAAATATAAATACAACTTGGCAACAAATAAAATCCATCCTCGTCAATTCTGCAAGGGAAGAAATTCCAAATACACGATTAATGGCAAAAAAAAGACTGGATGACACCAGCTATTCTAAAGATGATAGACAAAAGGAGGAAATACAAAAATAAGAACACAATCAATTACAAACGATTAAATACAGAAATACGAAGGAAAATAAAAGAATCAAAAGAGAAATGGCTCGAAGAAAAATGTAAAGAAATAGAAGAATTAGAACATAGACATGATTACTTTAATATGTACAAGAAGGTGAAAGAATTTTCATTCATCCACAAAAAACAACATTGCCCACTGGTAAATAACAACGGAGAGTTAATTCATAACACCAAAGATAAAATAGAAGAATGGGAAAAATTTATACAACAGCTGTTCCGAGATGAAAGAATAGACACTACAATAAATAATGTTACTGAAAGCCCACCAATTCTAAAAGTCGAAGTGGAATATGCCATTAAACAATTAAAGATCAACAAAAGCCCTGGACCTGATGAAGTTTAGTACATTTGATTTGTTAGGACATTTGTTAGTAATTTTGTTTAATACAATCTACGATACTGGGGAAATACCAGAGGAATGGTTAGAATCTATTTTTATTCCCATTCCAAAACAAGCTAACTCCAGGCGATGCGCAGATTTTAGATTAATAAGTCTGATGAGCCAAGTTCTTAAAATTTTATTAAAAATACTTCACAATAGGGTATACAAAAGGTGTGAAAAAGAAGTTGGATACGATCAATTTGGATTCAGAGCCGGAATGGGGACCAGAGAGGCCTTGTTTTCACTACAAGTACTGCTGCAGAAGTGTTACGACGTTTTGTAGACTTTGAAAAGGCATTTGATCGCGTAAACCATAATAAAATGTTAAATTCCTTGCAGAGCATCAACTTGGATAGTAAAGATCTCCGATTAATTAAGAACTTATATTGGAGGCAGAGTGCCAAGATTAGGATCGACGATCATACATCTAGAAATATTAGTATAAATAAAGGAGTAAGGCAAGGATGCATACTATCCCCTATGCTGTTCAATCTTTACTCGGAACTACTATTCAAGCAAGCCTTGGACACCTTTCCACAGGAATAAAAATTAATGGAGAACCAATATCTAGCATAAGATATGCAGATGACACTGTCCTACTGGCTGATACAGACACAAACTTACAGGGGGTTATAGACCACCTCAAGGATGCTTGTCGAGAGTTTGGAATGAAGATCAACGAAAAAAAAAAAACCAAAAGTAATGGTGATCCAAAGAAAACAGAATATTTCCTTACCTATAAAAATAAATGGGAATATTTTAGAACAGGTAAACAAGTTGGACTCAGAACAAGAAATTAAAGCGAGAATTGCTCAAGCTAGGGATAGTTTCTTTAAGATGCGCGTTCTATTCTGCGATACACATATAAATAATAAATTGAGATTAAAACTTGTAAAATGTTTTATCTGGTCTGTTCTTCTCTACGGAGTCGAAACGTGGACTTTAAAAATAAAGATCCTGAATAGAATCGAGGCATTTAAAATGTGGCTGTACCGTAGAATTTTAAAAATTCCTTGGACAGTACGAAAAACAAACGAAGAAGTACTAGCTAGACTCAATGTAGAAAAAGAACTATTAAGAACAGTCAAAAGAAGAAAAACCAGTTATTTAGGGCATTTGTTGCGCAACGAGAAATACTACATCCCTCAGTTGATAATAAAAGCCAAAATAGAAGGAAAGCGAGGAATTGGAAGAAAAAAATTGTCCTGGTTACGTAATATCAGAAACTGGACAGGACTTGGATTTAAGGAACTCTTAAGAGCAGCTGAAGATAGACAAACGTTTGCCACCATAACCGCTAACCTCCATTGATGGAGACGGCACTTGAAGAAGAATACGTCTAAGAGTATTGAAGTGCTATATCTGGTCAGCTTTGTTCTATGGATCTAAAACCTCAACAACAAAAATAAAAAATCTTAACAAAGATGTATTGACATATGATCCACAGAATCACGTAGACAGCACACATATCTAACGAACGTGGGCTACAGACCATGCACAAAGAATAAGTATTGATCAACATAATCAAAGTAAGAAAGGTCCAGTACTTCGCTCATACTTATGTAATGAGGGTATCTAAATATCACTTACTCCGTTGATCATTCAGGCAAAACCTAAGGAAAACTCTGCATTAGAAGAAAACAAGTAGGAAGGAAAAGGTAGAATAATCGAAGATATGCTTACCACAGAAAATTAAAACATTCCAATTACGGATGACCCATTAGACTTACTGCACGTATTGGTACAATATCCGCAATTGATCTGTCAATTTGAAAACCAACTCTCTCAACGGTGCTACCTTTGCTAAGAGGTCGAAACCTATATAGGATGTTCTACCATGACGGGCTAAATAAAATAAAATTGTCAACAATCATATAATATTTACTAATTATAAGATATTTTATTAGCAGTGTTGTTATGTGAACCTTACAAGAGGTATTTGGCAAAAAATCAGACAACAAATATTAAAAAAAAAAAATACAAAAAATACGTATTTTGTAATAAACAATAAAATAAAAAACTAATGCTAAATTAATTTTATAACCATTTTGTAGTTATGTTAAATATGTGAAGAATTTTTAAAATTATACCTTTTTTAATGTATTATTTAAAAATTACTTTTTTGTAGAAATATTAATGTAAATATCTCTGTTATCGATATGTTTTAACTTTGTATAATTAATTAAAATAAAATAATAATATACTTACATCTTCGTCATGATCGAAGGCGTTGAAGACGTCGTACGGCAAACAACTTAATAAATCTATGATAAACCAACTCTTCAGATAATTCATTCTGATAACCTTCGGATCAGAAACAACCTCGCCGCCTGGTCCAACGAAGGTCGTGTGAAAATTTAATACTATGTCGATAAAGAATATCACATCAACAATTGAGTCCACAACCAGAAGAGATACATCTTCCGATGTCTTGTTCTTAAAGGCTACATTGTAAGGAACCATAATGGCCGTATAAAAAGTTAAACAAAGAATGATCCAATCCCAAATGGCCTTGAAAGCGCAGTAATGAAGGAGAATATGTGGAGGGGTCTTGGGAGCTTCTTGACGATACTGGGGCATTATATCGGCACTTAAACTCATCATCTGTAACAAAAGATAAATAAGTATTAATAATATTTAAAGTTAATAAATAGACGAACTTTCATAAATATTTATGCTATAAATAAATTACATACAATTATTGCTTAATAAATACTATCAAAATTTATTGACTCAGAACTTAAAAAAAATTAACTTTTTTAAATGATCTCTTTAGGATCTTATTCAATCTTCTGTTGAAGGTAGGTCATCATTACAGATACGCAGACATTTTTGACGGAGACTTTAAACTGCGCTGCACTGCACCATTCGAACTATTCCCTCAGGTGCTTTAGCCACGATTTTTTTTTAACCTCATTTTGACTTTCTCGAATTTTAGCTTGCAATAGAAATTATAATAATAGGAATTTTGTTTTGTCGTCACACAATCCAAGTACTCATGTTTGGTCATAATGGTCAATATTATTTTCAGTTAATTTCTTATAGTCCTAACTACTTCCAAGTCTACCAGCCTATCCGTCTACGACGGTGGATAAATTTGAATAGGCAAAATTTCTTTATTTATATGTATTTTATTGTTTTCACGTATATTTCTATTAGTTTTAATGCTACATGTCAGCAACATACAAATCTTTAGGTTTAATAAACAATGTACGTCATTCTTTTTAATGTGTCATACTTAAGTTTGAGAGTAGGAAGCTTCTATGCGAATATGTGTATGTGTATGCATCATTAAATACATGTTTAGGTAAACATTATCTGTGTTTCGTATAAAAATATTCGAAAAACAGACGTATAAAGCAAACCAAAGAAATAAAGACAGACAGTAAATACATTCTCCCTACAAAATCAAACAGTATTGCATAGATGCCGCTTCGAAGGCCTTAAAAATCCATGAAACCGTTATCCATCTAGTTTAGCTCATCTACAATTCGTCAAGGGAATTGATGTTAAAATAATGTCAGGGACATTACAAAAGAAATAAAAAATGAGGAAGAGAAATTCAAAAATACAATAATACACGAGAATTAAATCCAAAACTGAAAGATTATGACTTTGTATACAGAAATAAAAAGAAAGAATGATAAGCAAACTCATATACAATACAGAAAAATGACCAAAAAATCCTGGGTAGAAGAACGTGACAGAAAAATAGAAAGGTACACTTCTTTGAATAAGATCCGATAATAAAAGATTTGAAACGTTGGCGATCATTTTAGCTATGATGACTTTGTTGGCTGCTATACGGAATAGCTGTGTTGAGGTCTTTCTATACCATGCTCTCAGTTAAGCAAACCAGATTATTCGTCTTCGTCCTGGGGCCTTTTTTCCTTCAATTTTACCTTGCAAATGCATTGGAGAAGCTTATATAGGCATTAATTTCTCATTATATTTCCCATGTACTGCAACTTACGGCCCTTCACGATGTTGACCAAATCCACGGTTTTGTTTATCCTCCGTAGTACTCATTCATTGGTGAATTTGTCTGTCCATGGTATCTTCTGTATAACGATAGCCCAAAACACCTAAAGTTTTAATAGAGTTTCCGCCGTTAACGTCCACGTTTCTACTCCACACAGAAGCACTGAGTACACATTTAAGAAGCCTTATTTTTGTTGGTGGTAGGGTGATAGCTCCTGAAAACAGAGGTTATAGTCAAGAATGCACTTTTTGCCCTACCAATGCGACATTTAATCTCTTGGATATTGTCCCACGACTCATTGATTATAGTTCTCAAGTAGTTGTACTTTTTGTTTTACTGTCAAGTTTTGAAGCCCTTCTACAGTAATGGAAAACACTATTGTATCATCTGCATACTGCAGGTTATTGAACTTAACTCCATTTATTGAGATGCCTTCATCAATATCTCTTTAAGCCTCTTCAAAAAGTAGTAAAATTATGCACCTCTGTTCCACTCCCCCTAAGATTTTGACCTAATCTGTATATTTTCCATTTAATCGGAGCACCGCTGATTGATGTCAATACAGGTTAGTTATTATTTTTAGGTATCATTTGTTAATGCCTGACTCTATCAAAAGCCTTCTTGTAGTCAATCAGACAAGCAAAAATATCAGAGCTGGCATCTCTACATTTATAAAACAATACCTGTACGCTAAATAAAGATTTCCTCGTACCAACGGAGTTCAAAAATCCAAACTGATTAGGTTTTTTTTATTTCTCGCATTTCCGGTAAATTCTTTTAAATACATATTCCTAAAATTGTACTGAAGACAGCAATCTCTCTATAGATATTGCAGCTTTCTTTACTTCTTATCTTATAAATTGTAGTTATGTAGGAAGTCTGCCCCTTGATGGAATTGGTTGTATCATTTATGCATTTCTGAAAGAGATCCGCTATATAATTAAGCAGTTTATCTGTCCCAAATTCCTCCACCAAAGATCTTGGTGTGCATTGCCTGCTCTCTGATTTCTTTTTATTCTTAGAGACAAACAAATCTTACTTATTTCTCCTTTGGAAACTCTTACAGGTGATGCTGAAGTGAGTATTTGTATGGCTGGTTCTAGATCTTGATGAGATGAGTTATTTTCGTTCGAGATTACAGAAGTGATTATTCTATTTTGTTAGGATAATTAATGATATTATATTTGATACTCTTCTTACTTACTCTTTTTTTCTTCGGTGCCATACAAAAAAGAAGTAATAATAATTATGTCAGATAAAAATATCATAAAACTATTACCATACATTTTCGGATTTCGAAATGGATTAGGAACACGAGAAGCTCTTTTTGCCTTAATTATGTTAACAGAACGATAGAGAGACATAAATGTAGATGTATATGCATATTTTATTGATAATCAAAAATCATTTGACTACACTAACCATCAAAAGTTGATCGAAATTCTGAGAACAACTGGAATTGACGAACAAGACTTGCGAATTATCTTAGAACTTTATTTTCTCCAAACGGCAACAATTAAAATAGAGCACACAACATTCAAATATATACGAATCCGATGAAAAACGCGACAAGGTTGCGTATTATCACCGCTATTATTTAATCTATATTCGTAATGTATATTCATAAAAGCATTAGACCAGGGAGTCAAATGCAGAATAAGAGGACAAAATTATTAGGAACCAAATCGACTTTATTCTAATAAAAAATCGATTTAGAAACTGCATCATATCAGTTAAAACGTATACAGGTGCTGACACTGGATTCGATCACAATCCCATAGTAGCTGCAAACCAATTAAAATTAAAAAAGAGGATCAAAAAGAAGTCTCCTGTTGGGAATGAACGTACTTGTTCAAAGATATCGTAATATATCTGTAGACATATACTGTTGTTTTAATAACTTCTAAAAGGCAGTTGATCGTGTTCAGCACTCTATATTGATCGAAGCTCTAAAAGACATTGGCTTGGACGGCAGAAATGTTTGAATAGTTGCAAATTTATATTAAAATCAAACAACATCAGTTTAAGTAGATGGTGTGGAATCACAGGCTCTCAATATTAAAAGAGGAGTACGGCAGTGATGCTTCTTTTCACCCCTGCTTTTTAATGTTTACTCCGAAAGAATTTTTAGGAAAGCACTTTTTGAAAACAAGAAGAAATACTTGTGAACGGCGAATTAATCACTAATTTGTACTATGCGGACGATACAGTACTCCTAGTTTCTAGTCAAGAAGATCTGCAAACACTACTTGATAGTGTTATTGAGAGTTGTAGGGAGGTAGATCTGGATCTTAACATAGGGAAAACTAAAATACTCGTAATAAGTAAACAACATATAAAACCGTCTATATATGTAGATAATACCAAACTTGACCACGTTGATAAAATCGTTTACCTTGGACAGCAATTAAATTGTAACGCAGAAAGTCACGGCAAAATTAGATCTAGAATAGAGCAGGCTAGAGCTGCTTTTAGAAGGATGTCCAAGGTGTTATGTAACAGAGACGTAAAATTGGCATTGAGGATCTGCCTACTTCGCTGCTACGTATTCTGGGTTTTACTTTATGCTGTCGAGTCCTGGACTGTAAATAAAATCGATTTAAATCGGCCCCACCTTTTCTGGGTGGAGAAGATTCGAAACTCCACAATACTAGAAAGTCTCAGCAAGACTACTATGATCATAAAAAATATCAACCAGGAGAAAGCTGGAATATGTCGGACATGTAATGAGAGGTCCTAAATATAGGTTGCTACAAAATATCATGCAAGGAAAATTAGCAGGCAAAAGCAGTCCAGGACGAAGAAATACCTCATGGTTGAAGAACTTGCGAAATTGGTAGGGTATTAACACAAGCATGCTATTCAGGGCGGCAGTGAATAAAATTAAGATAGCTATGATGGTAACCAACGTTCTGAAAGGAAATGGTACATAAAGAAGAAGATTAGACCAGGTTCAGGGTGGAATCAAGATTAACGGAACCAACATAAATAATATCAGATACACTAATGATTCCATCCAAATATTAAGCAAGGCACAAGAACTATGAAATATAATAAATGTTGTAGTTGGTCATAGCAAAATGTTCGGTTTACATCTAAATGTTTCCAAAATAAAATTCTAGTTTTTCAAAGATACCAACAAACATCCAGTTGTACGCTAAGTGACAAATAATAGATCAGGTAACTTCCATAAAATATTTGGGAGCAAATATCACCAGCCAGTGCAATCCAAAAAAGAAATCCTGTCAAGAATCGACAATCGAGGAAAACACTAATGAACATAAAAACATTTTTTACAAGATCAAACCTTAGTCTAGAGCTCAGAATTCGAATGATCAGATATTAAGTTTTCTCTGTTTTGCTGTATAGCGGTGAAAGTTGTACAATGAACTCTAAAGCAGAAAAGAGAATAGATATCTTTAAAATGTACACTTACAGACGGATGCCGAGAATTCCATGGATACAAAAAGTTACCAATCGTAAGGTACTTCGGCGCATGAGTAAACAAAAAGATTTACTCAGCATAACCAAAGAGAGAAAAATACAATACTTGGGTCATGTGTTGACAGATGAAAAATATGAATTACTCCAAGCCATATTGGGAGGCACAGTGCAGGGCAAAAGATTAGTTGGAAGATGCAAGAAGTCGTGGCTAAAAGACCTTAGGAGATGATTTGATTGCTCATCCACATAAATCCTTTATGCAGCAGTTTCCAAAGCTACAATTGCTATTTGGATCGCCAACCTTCGAAAGAACACGGCGCAATAAGAAAAAGATTCACCTACAATTTGTTGTGAAAAAGATTTTAAGACGAGATGTTAAATAAAAGAGTATTCAGTCACATTAATTCATGAATTTTTAATTCTGATTGTCACCAAATGTACATAAATTATGAGCTTTTCAAAATCTATTATTACGGATTTTGCTTCTAGCTTCCTTTGGCTATTTTTAGATTAAACCGTATTTAAAAATACAATATAAAAATATAAAACACTTACCAATAGGCAAAAATAAGCAAAGAATAATGTGCGTCAATACGCGAATCATATTTCTGATTTATTTCATATCTTACTTTTTATTTCATTCAATCTAGCTTAACGAACTAAAATTATTCGCTCGATAAATATATATTATATTTAAAAAACTCACCTGTGCCAAATGTGACTGTTTGGTGGCATCTTTGAGATTTGGCAGATGTGATGAAAATTGAGACACCAGCACTGATCGGCTTCTTGTTACGGATCTTGCTAGTTTGGCAAATTTTGATAAACCTGTTAAGAAAATATGATAAAAATATATAACATTTTTGTATTTAATATATAATATGAGCAAAAAATATAGACTAGGCCTATTAGGCTATCAAAGCAAGATTTAATCATTTTTTGTCTGATTCTCACTGGTTTATATGAACCTACTAATTTTTCAGGGACAATTTAAAATGATCATTTGTAGGATAGTCAACACGCTAATAATGTTTAATTTTTGGCTTAAATTGTCAATATAAAGTTTGGCTAGGACTATATTTTTAACAAATTATTTTGAAAAAATTAAATAAATATGGTATTTAACACAGCAATTCAAGTACCTAATATTATTTCCATATAGATTAAAAAGTAAATAGATAGTCGCAAACTAGTGTGAATTAGCAATTAATGCTATACAAATTAAAATTATTAAACGAATTATGTGCAATTATTCAGAGATCCTGGTAAAAAATAATTTTTTAGAAATATAGAGAGCCCGGGCAGTGACAATATTGTACAGCTGAAAATATATATTGGTGGATACTATTGTTTTGGTTTGTATTTATTCGTTTTAAAAAATGGAAAAAAAATTGGAGTGCAAATTGGGGAAGGTAATATAATTACGTTATTATTTGCTGACGACCAGGTTGTGCTAGCTAAAGATGTTGAAAATGCTATAGGCGGTTCGGAAACTTGTGGAAAAATATAAAAAGCAGGGTTTAGAAATACATATATTATTTAATCTTTGATTGAGGACGAACACTAGAGGATGAAGATCTATGATACACTATATTCTGTCAAAAATAGAGTTATACTTCTCTAAAATCTTGGATGTAAAAGCACTAACCAGCAGAAATATAAGGCGATCATAAATTGGTATTGTGCAAAATCCAAATAAAAGCACATACATGTAATAACAAAACACCAGAATACACCACAAAGTCAAAAACTTGATGACTCCACAAAATACGTAGTCCAAAGAAAGCTGGGCAAAAATTAAGTCTGATATCCTAGCCTCGCCTAAGGAAGTTCTTGTTGATACTACAAAACAAATTGCTAAAATATTGTGAAGGAGCAACGAAAGAATAATTAACAACATTAATTAATAAATTTATAAAACAATAAAATACCAGAAGAATGGACAATGGGCAAAGTAGTTCTACTATTCAAAAAAGGAGATAATAATGACCAGAAAGCTACTGAGGTATAGATTTGTTAAATACTACTACGCTTAATGGAAATAGACAGCACAATAAGACGAAGGGACTTATTGACCTATTTGCTCTTTTATTTAAATATGGATGAAATCAAGTATTAACAAAGGAAAATAATATATAATAGAAAACAAAGAACTAAAAATACTGGTCCGCAGATTTAACATAGGAGCAAAAAAAATTATTATGACAATTTTATCTGCGGCGAAAACTAAAACAATGAAATTCAGCAAAGAACCAATCGGATGTACGATAGAAATTGATGTTACCAGTATTGAAAAAGTAATATAGACCTGAACAAAGAAGTGAGAGATCAAGTACAAAAGCAAATAGACTGGCAGGATGCCTTAATAATACTATATGGCAAAACAGAAACATTAACACTGAGATGAAATTAAGAATTTATTTAGGAAGAAAGTGTTAGACCAATAATGACATATGCCTAAAAAACAAGACCCAATAGAGCACCAATACAAAGACTACTGAAAACGGCAAGGATATGAGTACTGAGAACAATTACAGCAAATATGCTTAGAGAAAGAAGATAATGGTATTAGTTGAATGGATACTAAAAAGAATAAAAAATGAAGTTATTACATAAGCAAACGGGGGGAAACCGTCCCCCCGTTTTTTTAAAATACCAGGAGAAAAATCACCAATTGACAGAAGTATCGGACGACCGCGCAATAGATGGAGTGACATCATTTTATAGAGCAGAATTATTTATATAAGCAGAATTACTTATAAAGAGAAAGAAGAAGAAGAGGATAATTTAATTTGACATTGCGCATTTTTAAAACGAATATTTCTAATGATAATAGAAAAACACACAACCAGAGCAATGATTCAATATCTTAGTAGTTTCTGATGATACATTAATAATAAAAAAACACTAAAATCTTATCTCCAACTTCATATTTAATTAGGATTTAAGCCCAAAAATTTTTTTATTTAGGTATCGCCAATTTAAAACCACGAAACTTAAAAAGTAGCGCATGAAGTGTTGTTTGTTCATTGCAAAGAAGAGTTAAGAGTATGTGTTAAGGCTTGAATGGAAAAATGTCTAATAATTTTTGTAGCACTATGTAGGGTTTAAATCTATTTTTGTTCTTTGTTTCTTTTTTAGTCTCCTTTCTTCGGATTATAATACAAAATAATTAGGTTAAAATTAAAAAATTGTTATGTTACTGACTGACTTGAACGTTGGAGGCTTACGTAAGCTTACGCTTCTTATGGAGGCAGCTACTCCATTTTTGTGCTAAAGCTTTTGAGAGGTGAGCAACGTTAGTTGCAAGTGGGTAGTTTTTACGGTGGTGTACTGATAGTGAAGCAGAGACTTTGAAAGTGGTAGTTTTGAGCAAAAAAATAGTGCTATAAGGAAGAATTTAGGTTCGCCAACCATGCTTTAAGCAGAAGGTACCTCCGATGTCAGCCATACCAGACAACAGCTCTTTAGTCAGCGTTTTTGGCGTGCGGTTATTTTGGCGGAATATCTGCGATACTTGAGAATAGTTGTCGGGTTTCTAGAAATGTCATAACTTACCAGGAAATTCGTGGCCAGCGAAAAGTAGAAGCTTGACTGGAGGGAATGGAACCTTTATTTGGGGAATCCTGGTAAATATGTGCCATCGCCGATAGTTAGAAATCTTTATAGTTTGCTAAACTCTATTGTTGAAGCTAGCTATTGTACCAAGGACATATCTTTTGATGAATAAACGGTCCTTTATTTATGAAATGTTTGCAACTGGGTGAGTTTATGCTGACAAGTAATCTACACATTTCCATGTGCATTTTCTTAAGACTTTCTTTTATGTTTCCCTCATGGCGTTGCTTTAGCGTTTGTTAGTGACGCATAGACACACGATTTGTATTCGATAATATGCCTGATGAAAGTCTTATAGGTATGCAATCGAGTTTATTTAAAGTATTGCCGAGATTTCAAGATGATACATCTATTAGAGTAGCTCTTCTTCTTAGTCTATCTAGGGTGTTTTTAATGTCAATTTACCAGCCTAAAGTCCTGCTAAATGAATTCTGAAATAAGACACCGAGATTCTAAATTCGAGTTTATCTCTGAGGAAAACAATGTTAGATAGCTACTGACAACTAAACCATTTATAATCTGTCACATATTCAGAATACTGGAGCACATGTGTCTGAATAGAATTTCATCTAGAATCGACGAAAACCTCACACAAGAACAACGTGGCTTTAGACCGTAAAGATCATGAACATCAAAAATACTGAAGCTTATTTAAAACACCAAAGACGTATAGAAAGACATCAGGTTTATAGGGTGATTTTTAGATCTCACTGCCACTTATGACACTGTAAATCATAGGGGACTTTGAAGTTCAATTTTTTTCAACCTAGTTTTTTTTAGTATTTTCACGTGATCACCGATCGATTTATTATTATAATATGTGTTATAATTATAAAAATCAAGCTTTTTATCGACAAATTGCTCCGAAGGAAAAGAGTAATGATTTAAAGAAGTATCATCCTATTTTTTATAAATTTATCGAAAATGCCGGTCAACTTTGACGTAATTCAGATTTTTTTTTGAAGAAAAAGTGTGTTGCCGAGTCTTTTTTAATGCAGTTTTCTCAATTTAATTTAAACCAATAGTTATCGAGATATTACTTCTTTAGATATATGCTTTTTTATAAGTAAAAAAATGGCAAACTTCTATATTGTCGAATGTGTTATAAACATTTTTAGGCGAATTATGAAGATCGTAAGATTGCTATTTTGAAGGAATAGTATATATATATATATATATATATATATATATATATATATATATATAATCAATAACCCTTCTACCCTAAGGTGTTGGGTATGAAGCAATAGTAATAAATTAAAATATTTAAAAAAAACCTTTTTTGGTAATTTTTAAATATTTTAATTCTTTTAATAATATTTTGTATCTATTTGACACTAAGTTAATTACTATTACTAAAGGTAGCACAAAATTTTCTCTGCAAAAATCCAAATGCCACTTCTCACATCCACCTTAAAACTGAACCACCGTGGTCTATAAGTTTAAACTACTTACCCTGTTTATTTTAATCAAAGTTTTTATTTAAATGAAAAAAAGTGCGTTTTAAATATATACAAGCATATACATACGCAGCTCTTACAAATTACTCCAAAGATTTTGTAACGTTTTTTTAGGAAAAAGCTAGTTCACTTACCTCCTTTTGTGTCGTCCGTTTCGATAGGTTGCTTGAGTGCAGTAATATCCCTGAATGTCAACAAAAACAGCACAACCAAATCTCGTTCGTTTTTTATAGGCGATATCTGTAGAAGCAGCCATAGTGGTGTTTCTATAAATAAAAACAAATTCGGTTAGTGTTACATTGGCATATATTTACAATCAAAGGATATAGGCCAGTCTATGAAATTGGGTATATATTATAACATCTGTTATCAAACATCAATAAAAAAATATTTTAAAGTAACCAAAATGTTTTGTGTATTCACCAATAACCCTGTTCTCACCATAAAATGCTTTTTTCCAGTTTTTTTTAAAGGTTTGCATTTAAACAGAGAAGGGCGCCTAATACTAACTTTTGTAAAAAATATGGATTAGATTAAAAAGATTTTCTAACAAATATTCATTTAATAAAGATTCCTAACCACTTTTAATATATAACATGGAATATTTCATATCATCTATCTATCATAAGTTTATTTATACGAAGATAAATCCGTTCTCAAAACTGTTTCAGGTTTCATAATTTTGATGTTAAAACAATAATACCCTCCAAACTGAACGCAAACCAGTGCGGGAAGAAGTTCTGTTGGTTTTAAAATAGGTCCTAATTCAATAAGACACCGCAGCTTGACGAAAGATATATTATTACATTTAATCAAATTTTACAAAAAAAAATAAAATGTTTTTTATGGTTATCTTTTTCTATATTTGTTGGAGTTTTTTTTAAATTTTAAGCCTTATTTTAATTCCAAACAGAAGTTTAAATGTATTTAAAGACATAGTGTGTCAATGTATTTAGGCCTTTAATACAACACATAAGATGAATTAAAAGTAAAATGAGATCAAACAAAATACCTTGCCCCATAGAATAACATCTAACAATCTATGAGAATATTTCAATATGACATGTCTTAACGTCGCTGATAACAGGGATAATCAACAGAAATCCTAATACACCCTAAAAACAGTAAAATATTACAAATACTTTAAGACGTCTAATATTTTGTTTTCACGGCTGGGAAAACACGGCTTTTGTTTTCACGGTTTCAATGCTGATCGGAATCTATGATAAAAAACTAGAATGTTTTGGTCATGTGATAACGAAAAGCGTTAAATTCTTAAGTTTTTAATGCAAGTTCCATTAAAACAATTTTTTGTGGAAAATTCTAAGACACTAGACAATAAAACATAATTTGAACTTTAAACAATTCAGAGCTTAGTTTCTGTAAATATTATCATTAGTATATTTGAGTGAGTGGCAGTTAACTTAAACAGGATATGTTGTAGCACAACATAATCACAAATGCCCAACTGACGTAAGTGTTCTTCTGTTTTATACCTTAGCAGATATGTACTAAGTATATATTCTCATTACTGAGTTTTAAATTATAGTACAGATTTTTTATGTTTTTCAATTTTGCTTTACTCGTAATGAATTTGCGAGGCTTATATTCAGTAATTTCTATATTTTGTTAGTTTCTGCGGTTAGTGAACAGTCTGCTCCGCTTTCTTGCTCAAAATGTTTTTCTATGCTATTAGCTTTTTTATAAAAGTCTTTATGCTATGCTATCTAGTATAAAGTACATGTTATCTATGTAGTCTTTCTAGCTATCCAACGTATTCTTATTCCATTTTCTAATCTAATGGTCATGGTTTAAAAAAAACTGAAATTGTTGCTAACAATATTGATGCTAACATTTTATTTATATTTTGTGAGGTTGACAATAGTTGTTATGTACGCTGAAATACGTCGTCGAATTTTTTGTTTATAATCAATTTATAGATTCTTCTTCTTCTTCAGCCTTAGGTTATCCAACTTTGGACAAAGGCCTTCCCAAATCAATCCAGTATCTTCTATTTTAAGCCACTACTTGTGGTCTTCCTCTGCTTCTCTTCCCTAACCATGGCCTCCACTGTTGTATTTCGTGGTTCCATCGCTTAACCTCCAGTCGGGCACTGTGTCCTGTGAAGCTCCATTTTAATTTGGCAGCATGTTCCCCTGCGACTTTTACTTTCGTTTTGCTTCTAATCCATTTGTTTTTTTTTTCTATAAGTCTCACCCCGAGCATTGATCTTTCCATCGGTCTTTGTGCTTTTACTATTTTATCCATATTTGACTTGGTGAGTGTCCACGTCTGTGAACCATACGTGAGTATAGGGAAGATACACTGATCGTAAATTCTGGTTTTTAAAGTGTTCTATTTTAGTGCTTTTCAAGATCCAACTCAGTTTTTCAAATCCTGCCCACACCAACTTTATTCTTCTGGTAATTTCGGCAGTTTGATTTTCTTTGTTAATTTTTATTATATGCTCCAGGTAGATGTATTCGCTTACTGTTTCTAAATTTATGTGGTTCCACGTTATTTCTGTAATGTTCAGTGTATTTGTCAATATTTTTTGATTTTTCCAGGTTCATCTTTAGACCTACTTTTTCCGAAGCTTGAAATAGTTGCGTCATCATGGTTTGTAGTTCTTCGAAAATTATAGCGAATATTACAATGTCATCAGCGTATCTTAAATGACTCAGTTTTCTTCCATTAACATTTACTCCCTTATCTGCCCAGTTATTGTCTTTGAACACGTCTTCAAGTCCAAGTGTGAATAGCTTTGGTGGGATAACATCTCCTTGGTAAACTCCTCTGTTGATTGGTATAGCTTTGGTTTTCGCTTTCAAAATAGTTAGTGTATATAAAAGCTTAAAAAAATCACAATAAGTTAAACAAGGCTGAACAATATGGCACGTATTTGATATCTTGTTTAGTGTAAGTTTTGCCATATAAATTTTTTATTGACAGTGGCATTAGCTCATTTGTCGTGTTTATTGATTTATTTGAATTAATTTTTTTGATTTTTTAAATTATTCAACTCGTAGTTTTTGGGTATGTCATTTGAATTATATATTTTCAAGCATAATTATTATTTTAACGACTAACTGCTGCTTTTTTAATCTGATTACTTTTGGTAAGTATTTATTTTTAGGCTAATGAGAAAAATATGATATTCTAATCTACAAATTGTCATTAGACTACATGAGTCTGGCTTCAATTTCGTCAAACTATTATTCCGTCGAATTATTATTATGTTTAAGATATGCCTAGAAAAACGCTAAATTCCCAAGCGCAGCAACTTGTGTGGAATTTATATGAATATTTTGAGCTAGAAAAAAATAATGGAGAACCTTTAAAGCCTTTTACATCTGTTCAACAGGTAAAATATCAAATGCATGTTTATGAATTAGTTACTATTAAACAATTAGTTTTCTAAGACAGTTGCTGCTGCTTCAAAAATATTAGGGCTGACAATATACTCAATAAAAAAAAACGAAGAAAACAATTCCGTCCTTGTAAAACCAGGCAAATGTAGACGTCGTCTTATAAGTAAGACGACTGATATGCCCGAGGCATCAAAAATGGCAGTATAGAACACGTTGTATGATATTTACCAACAGAGTAAGTATTGATTTCTTTAGTGTGAATTTTATAATAAACAAGAACCTGGGTAGGTACTTCAATTTTCATCATATTTTTTATTTACTTATTTTTGGCTATTAAGGGATACCTGGAGTTTCACCTGTCACTTGCCTAAAGGAAGTAGTGGATATTTGAAAATCATTGCTTAGTACATTGTTAAAGGACATCGGATTTAAATTAAAAAAAATGACAATCGACAATCATTAATTGGGCAAATTAGTATTGCTGCTCTAAGAGCCAGATTCCTTCGTAAATAATATGTAAAATCTTGAAAGAGAAGTTGTTTTTTTAGAGAAAACTTGGATTTACTTTAACGGAAATAAAACAAATTCTTGGTAAAACAATAGTGCCAAAAGTGTCCAAAAATCAGGAGGTTATGATGGTAAACGTTTTGTAATTGTTCACGCTGGTTCATGCAAAGGATTTGTTTCGAGAGCAAAATTATTGTTTTGTTCAAAATCTAACGTAGCTGATTATCATGTAGAAAAGAACAACGAACTTTTTACTAAATTAATAAGAACACAATTAATACATAATTTAGAAGAGCCATCATTGGTTGTAATGGATAATGTTTCTTACTACAGTGTCCTTTTAAATAAACAATCTTCAATTACTTTAAGAAAGAATAAAATTATTAGTTGGTTAATAACAAATATTAATAAATATAACTTACATTTTTTTAAAGCTAAATTGTTATAAATATCCACAAATAACAGAAAAGAAAATATATATGTAATTGACGAGTTGATCCGAGAATATTGTCATGAGGGGTTGAGACTTTATCACTGTGAATTTAACGCAATAGAATTAATTTGGGCAAATTGCAAGTCATATTACAGTAAGTATATTGGTATGGATGGACATGGGTATTCTGTTGCTGTTTTAAATATGTGGAAGTATAAAAGACACTGCAACAATGTAATGCAGATATTTGGGAGAAATGTGTCAGAAATACTAATGAAATTATCAATAAATGCTATATCCGAGACAAAAGTATGGTGAATGTTGACATTTAACCAATTATAATAAATCCTAATGATAGATCAGATTCAGACAGTGACGAGAATTAAAATACATGAGTTTCTATTTCGGTTGGCAGTTTATTGTTATATAGTTACCCAATCTTTTATTTCAGTCTTTTTTTAAGTACATTGGTACTTTCTCTAAGAACATGCTATGGTATAGGGCGTTATCTGTTATAATTATTATTTATGCTTCAGATAAATTTTTTAATAGTTGATTTTCAAACCATGATAAAAAATTTGCTTGATTCATTTCTTCATGATAGTCTATTACAGCCGATTTAGATGAAAATATAGCCTGTGCACCCTTAATGAAGCCACTTTTATTACCAGCATGAAGAATAATATATCTACAAAAAAAGATATTTTAACATCTTCATGTTTTCAATATGATTACGATTATATATTATTATGATGAATATAAATATATTACGGTGTCCTATCGGTTATAATGGATTTTACACATATTTTATTCTCATCTTGCCGTAAGCGACATATAGATCTATAGATCAAGTTTCACTTATAAAAACAAACTTGTACAGTTCTTCTTGTTTATATTTTTTATATAATCTCAAAGGTTCTATTCTCTTCACAGCAATATGAGATTGCTCCATCAGTCCTCGCCTTGGATCTTCTTTTAGCCATTTAAAACCAACGTCTTTCAGTACAATATTAACATACGATAACTATCAGACAGATTTTTTTCCTTTAATTAAATCCATAAATGGGACAAAGTCATATACGGCACTAAACTTAATTAGATTTTCATTAAAAATTTTTAAATATCTTCAATAATACACAAGTGTTTTATACCTATAACGAGAAATTAATGCGAATTTTAAATTTAAAATAAAAAATATATCTTTAATGCGGTACAGTCTTATAAAAGACCTTATATATTTTGCAACAAATTTTAAAATATGACGCTTACAGTTTTTTTTATGGAAAGGAGGTGATAAATAAGATCATAGCAAGTCGTGTCATATGAATAGCCCGTCTTATTTCTCTCTTCCTCTTTTTCACTCTCAATCTCTCTCTGGTCTTTACTGCAGATTTGTTTCTAATATTTCTTTCATTCTAAGAATTCGAGTACACTACCTTCGGTATTGCCTTGTATTCAGTATTTTCCCTCATTTCTACGTGCGTATGGTACTTGCACTTACTCTACCTATCTCCTGTGTAATTTGTTTCTGTCCTCATTAAACCTTCTGCACTCCTATACATAGTACCCAGCCAAGTCAGTCTCTCTACAGTCTGTATAGTTTTTATCAGCAACCTTCCCTATCCTCTCTAGGTAGGCCCTGAACGAACCTAATTTGGAATTAATACCTTGGTCCAGGCCGTAATATGCTCATTTGTTCATTCTTCGTGCC